GGCACCTCAGTGGGAAGTCTGTGGGAAGGGAAAAGTGTGGCAGAAAACGCTGCACAACGAGAAGAGGTGACCGGACCCTGAGGAGGATTGTGGAGAAGGGCCGATTCCAGACCTTGGGGGACCTGCGAAAGCAGTGGACTGAGTCTGGAGTAGAAATATCCAGAGCCACCGTGCACAGGCGTGTGCAGGAAATGGGCTACAGGTGCCGCATTCCTCAGGTCAAGCCACTCTTGAACAAGAGACTACGTCAGAAGCATCTCGCCTGGGACTGCTGCTGAGTGGTCCAAAGTTATGTTCTCTGATTACAGTAAATTTTGCATTTCCTTTGGAAATCAAGGTCCCAGAGTCTGGAGGAAGAGAGGAGACACAGAGTTCACATTGCTTGAGGTCCAGTGTCAAGTTTCCACAGTCACTGGGGTGTCATGTCATCTGCTGGTGTTGGTCCACTGTGTTTTATCAAGGGCAGGGTCAATGCAGCTAGCAGGAGATTTTTGAGCACTTCATGCGTCCATCTGCTGAAAAGCTTTATGGAGATGAAGATTTCATTTTTCAGCACGACCTGGCACCTGCTCACAGTGCCAAAACCACTGGTAAATGGTTTACTGACGATGGTATTACTGTGCTCAATTGGCCTGCCAACTCTCCTGACCTGAACCCCATAGAGAACCTGTGGGATATTGTGAAGAGAAAGTTGAGAGACGCAAGACCCAACACTCTGGATGAGCTTAAGGCCGCTATCGAAGCATCCTGGGCCTCCATAACACCTCAGCAGTGCCACAGGCTGATTGCCTCCATGCCACGCCGCATTGAAGCAGTCATTCATGCAAAAGGATTCCCGACCAAGTATTGAGTGCATAACTGAACATGATTATTTGAAGGTTGGCGTTTTTTGTATTAAAAACACTTGTCTTTCATTGGTGGGATGAAATATGCTAATTTTTTGGGACAGGCATTTTGGGTTTTCATGAGCTGTATGCCATAATCATCAGTATTAAAACAATTAAAGACCTGAAATATTTCAGTTGGTGTGCAATGAATCTGAAATATATGAAAGTTTCATTTTTATCATTACATTATGGAAAATAATGACCTTTATCACAATATGCTAATTTTTGAGAAGGACCTATATATATATATATAATGTGCATTTTAGCTTATATAACTACCTTTTTAATTATTACCATTATATTCTACCATGTTGTTGTTTACTATCTCTCTTTGGGACCTTCTAAATATAATTACCTTTTCACTTTTTGGTACTTTATTTTTGTACCCTTATTGCAAGCTTTAGTATTTTGTAGTTTGTTTGTTTGTTTAATTTTTAGCGAGTCAAATAAGTTCTTCTCATCCTAAGCATTTCATTGTACTGTTAACCTTGTGTTAACCTTGCATATGACAAATAAACACAACTTGAAACTTAAAGTGAACGGCCACAACTTGAAAGTAGTCTTCATGCACCTTCTGCTGGATACATTGTACAATTACAACAAGCTCCAGCATTTTAGAGGTGAAAATTAGAAGTGTTTATATCGGCCGATAATGGGACCATTATCGGACAATACAGATAGGTCCCCAAATGCCTATACTGGCCAAAATTATCAGCCTTACCAATATATCGGCTGGGCTCTACTTAGGAGTCATTTTGATTCAAAAGTAGGAGGATAACTGCAACTAAGTAAACTCAAAAAGCATAATTTTACTATCCAAACCATTAAAAATTTCTCAATACAGTAGTCCCTCGCAACTTCGCGTTTCAACTTTCACAGACTCGCTCTTTTGCGGGTTTTCACAGTAAGATTAGACATGACATACAATCGGCTGATTGACTGATGAGCCACACCAGTGGCATGGATTGTTTATTTTAAATAAATTATTTTAAATGATTTAGCACCTGTGTGAGGCCCACAGGTGCAGGGAGAACCTCACTCTTACAGAAGTTTGGTCATGATCTCTGCTCACTGCCAGCTGCCATTCTCTGCCACGCCCACTTTTCCGCTGCAATCACACTGATCACCGGTTTCACTCCCAATCTCCCTCCTTCTGTGTAAATAAACAATTTAAATTTAAATACTGTACAATTTTATATAAACAATCCATGCTGCATGAGCAGCAATACTTATTTTAAATAATCAAGCGCAACCACCCCCTTGGCAAATGGCCAGGCCACTGGGAAATGTCCTGATGCTCAGAATGGCCAGTCACCCCAACCTGCAGCAGCAGATGCTAAATCATTTAAAATAATTTATTTTAAATAAATTATTTTGTGCTGTGCTTTTATTTATTTATTTTTGTGTGCTGAGTTTCTTAAGCACTCCCCAGTGTCTGCAGATTGCCTGATCGCCTCATTCCTTAAGTAATTCAGCGTTTTTGTTCCTGCTCCATTCCTGACCAGTTTCAAACATGAATTCCTCCCCTTTGCCTGGCATAAGCTGGATCCTTCTGCCCACGATGGGGTATCTGGACCTCCATGCCTGCTCTGTCTTCAGACTAGAGGATGACACGGGAATGGATTTTCACTCCTGTCCCACTCCTGGTCCAGAGTTAAAAAAATTAATCCTGTCCTGTCCCACTCCTGGTAACATGACTCCTGCTCCTGTTCAGAATCACTCCCACTCCTGTCCTGCTCCTGTTTTTCATTTAATTTTTAGGAAATACATTGAATTTGATTTGATCTTCTACCCATTCCTGTTTAAATTACTTTGTGTTGTGCAGTTTTATTTCAAAAGATATGGCAACAGGAACAGTTCATCTGTGGTGAAATAGAGACATTTATTTCCTTAATCCAAACAAAAACCTTCACTAAACGTCACAAAACAAATAATACATGGCCTGTAATCCATATAAGTTTTCTACGGAGGATCAGCTGCTGAGTCTGTTTCTGGCTCTTTTGAAGGTCAGTTACAGTAAAAACAACAAATCTAAACCAGTCCATGGGTCACACCATGTCTACCTTAGATGAAAGAACCCAAACAGAACAAGTTGCATTTTACTAATTTATTGAACAGTTGTTTCCTTTAAACAGTGACATCACTGTCATGTTTTAAATTGTTTAAATAAACAAACAAAAAAATAATGTACCAAACAGAGAACTCAACAAATAAAAATGTTTAAAGGCATTATTATACATTGGACGACGTCCTCAAGAAGTTCAGTCCATGTGGTCGAGGTAACGAGCTCGTTTGGGTGAAGCATGATGTCGTGAATCTTCCCAGACTCCAGACCATCATTTACAGACAAGAGTCTTTGTGTCTAAAGCTGTTTAACAGCTTGCTTCCAGAGTTAACAGCCTCCTGTGTTAGGTAGAACAATTAAATTAAATTAAAGACAAACAAAAAGCTTAGTGCTACTTCTTGTTGTGACATGCTTTCTAAAACAGTTATTGAATCAAGTATTTACTTATGTAGGTAAACATAGATGTTTTAAACCTGTTAAAATACACCAGAATGCAGGAAATAGCAGCTGCTTTATTCAAAAAGTTATGGGGGAGGACCCACAGACCTCGCACCAATATGTCCCCCCTACAATAATTCTAATGATAATTCACACTGCGTGGTTCAAGCCAGGAGCCATTGTCAACACTGGGGGGCTAAGACTCCTAAACAGGGCTCCTAGAATCACCCCTGGTGTGAAGAAATGGACTGAGAAAAATCAGCTCTTGGCCTAAAATTTAACACAACAGCATAATTGTACACATCATATCTTAAATCTAAAACTGAAACAATTATTATAATATTTATGCAACCAGTCTTTCATATAAAAACTGGGATATTTTTACCGGAGAATGCGTGCACTTTAACCAGGAAGAATTCGGGGTTTTTTTGGGTTTTTTTACATTACAAACAGCGACAGATAATGAAAATTTTAACTTAAAAACCCACATAACAAAGCAGAACATAATTTTTAAATTAAAAGGGACAAGGTGGAGAAAAATGCGCTGTTTGATTCTGTTCATTTACTGACGGTAAACAGCAGCTCCTCACTGCAGCTGAGATGTTTAAAGCAGCACAGCACCAACACAACTCTCATGCAGTTCAGGTTATTTGACACTTTCCTGCCTGTTCTGTGAGTTTAATAGACAGACAGTTACTTCTTACCTTGTGTTGCAAACTATTTTCAGCTACTCCTCGATTTCTTTGCTGGAGACTTCGCTGCTCCGTGAAAAGCTACGGCTGGAACAGTTGACTTTTGGGCAATGTAGTTCTTTTGACTTGTGTTAAAGTGAAGGCTTACTCAAAGAAAACTACAAAAAAGCTGCGCCCAGTTATTTTTTTTGTTGTTGTTTCATTTTCCTTTTTTGTTTTTGATCGGTTCCCGCTCCTGTCTGTTCCCGTTAGCTTCCAGTCTGGTCACGTCCCGGCCATGTGAGTTACATTGAGGTTGACTCCGGTCCCGCTGGAATCCCGCCGGAATCACGTGACCCGCGGTACTCCCGAAAAAATATCCTCTACTTCAGACCATCGATTCTAACTTAAATCCTTGGATATGTTTTGATTTCCTGCCTATGTGTGATGATCCACGCCTGCCTGTCCATTCAGACCTCTTTTCCCTCTGACGTCATCGCAGCTCACTCTGCTGCTGTCATTACTTAATCTACCTGTTTTGTATTTGTATTTTTTTCCATTCTTAACGTGTTTTGTCTTTCTTTCAATAGGGGTACTCCTGCACCTACACCTGTCATTCTGTGCTCGTCTGTCTCTCCTTCCTGTCCTCTCAACCAGCCGGTCAAAGCAGATCGCCGCCTCTCCTGAGCCTGGTTCTGCTGGAGGTTTCTTCTTGTTAAAGGGAGTTTTTCCTTTCCACTGCTCCTTTGTGTTCAGTCAGGGTGGGAGACTGCGACGAAGTGAAGATTCAACGAGTCTGCTGGCTTCCTTAGATAGACAACTTCACTAATTGGCTTTTTAAAATGTATTTAAATGTTTCTGTAAAGTGCTCTGAGACACCTTTGTTGTGATTTGGCGCTATATAAATAAACTGAATTGAAATTGAAATAGGATGCGCACCTTGTCCTTCATCACGTTGAGCTTTTGCTTGAGGTCAACAACTTCTGTTTTCAGTTCAGAGCACTGCTTTTCAAAGCTGCTGCATTTTTTGGTGCTGTTCTCTAGCTGCAAAAAAAATATATACATTCTTAATGAGCAGCATAATTTTATTATGTGAAAAATGAAAAAAAGAGCATTGCTTCTTACACTGTGCGTTGCTTGAAGCAGCTTGTCAGACAACTCTCTGCACTGAATCTCCTTCTGGCTCAGCACTTCTCTGAGGCTATCGATGAGCTCAAGTTTCTCAGACGTCCTGGACAATGTATTCTCCTTCTCAATGAGGGAACTTTCCAGGCACTCTTGTGTGTCAGTCAGTCTACAGCAAGAAAAAAAACCACTATGAATTACATTACAGGACTCATATTCCTCGAAAGAATGAACATTAGCTGCTGCCTTTCATGCTTAAGTTTTACACTAAGACCATCTACCACTTAGAAATGACAATCGTGGGCGTTTTAGTTAAATCTCAAAATTAAAAACACGTGATCCACGTTGTGAGATGTCAGACTCAGAATGTGTGTAGTAACTGACTTTCAGCTACTACTACACCAAATTTCAGCACATTAGCATTGCTCATCAATTTTAAGTTTCCTGTACAGCTACACTTTTCTGTACCAAATACTGAATTTATTTATAGCCCTGCAGTAAAGGAAATTCTAAATTTGTACAGCTAATGTATTAATCCCAACTAGAAAGTTCCTGGAGAAACTTTTTACGGGGACTGCCAGGCTGTTGCCAATTTAAATTTTTGATTTGACAGTACTGTTAAGATATTTTCAATCCAGACTGGTCTTATGATTTTGATCTGCTCAGAGACGGGATTATAATGAAATTGTGACCCGGTTCTGACTGGGTTAAACTGGGCCAGCAAACTCTTAAGAGAGTCTCCCTGATGATTCAATATCTCACAGAATAGAGTTTGATCTGTTTGCCACATCACGTAGAAAGGCTTTGAAGCACCGTCTCATATTTCCTAACACGTCAGTACACATAAGATCCCTGAGATCACACTTAGCCACGCCCCCTCATACACTGATAGGTTGAGCTCCCCTTCTGCAAAAGGCGGAGTCTAGGACCCTATAAATTAATGATGACATGGGACATCGGGGCTCTTTGGGTCTGTGGCGTCACGGACTGAATAGAGTCCAGTGCTGTGAATTGTAATCTTTTACTGCCTTTTCTAATATAATTTGATAAAACTTAATTGACGTTTCCTTGATTTATTGATTAGTATAGTTGCCACTTTTGAGGAAGGTTCGAGCCGGGAGTAAGGACGTGGGCTGGAGGGGGTTTCCAGATCGGGTGGCCAGCAGCCAGCTCCCGTCCTTAACAGTAATATGGCCCTATTTACATGGACACGATGGGGGGGAACAGTTTTTTTCATATGTTAATTAGAGGAAAAGATCCGCGTTGACACGGACGAATTTAGTGTTTACATGCATCCGGAGGAATCCCCCCCCACCCCACTGAATCCGCTGTAGTTACCATGCCGGGTCATTAGTCGGCGCTGTGAATTTTGTACCTTCACCTAATGCGTGCTGCCTCGGCCCGCTCCTTTCCTCTGGGCTAAAAGTTCAGCTAACAACAACTTAGCAACAAGTTAAAGCTGGATTTTGATAAGAGTCGACAGATTTGACGCCAAGTGGCACCGCTTCATCTAACAGCTCCACACCGGTCACTGAGTGGACCAGAACACAGTCGGCGATGTTGGACTTGACTCCGTGATAATCAACAGCTGATTTACAGCAGGTAAATCAACGTTCTTAATAATGTTTGCTTGCGTTTACTTCGATCACACAACAACCAATTGAGTTTTTATTTTTATTTTTCCTGAAAGAAGAAGAAGCTGTCCTCCCACCAAGCGGACCGGTTCTGAATGAGGCTCGGCCCAGGTGCAGTGCAGGAGGATGTCGAAGAGAGAGATGTTGGATGAACTATTTATTTAAAATTCCCCTCAGTTCTTTTATTGAATCCATTTAATGTTTTAAGCTGCATTAATCAAAGGAGTGACAGCCTGAACGAGCCAGATGAACAACGTGGGTCCAGAGTCCAGGATGAAAACAAGAGTCCAGTTCATTAATGTAGTTTACAGTTAACGTGTTTTTAATAGTGTGTTCTGTTTAATTATCAGTGTTTGTGTGACATTGTCAGATATTTATCTAGACTGGTTCTGGGGTTTTGATCTGCTTAGAGACGGGATTATATTGAAATTATGACCCGGTTCTGACTGGGTTAAACTGGGCCAGCAACTCTAAAAAGAGTCTCCCTGGGATTCAATAATAGTCAAGGAATAGAGTTTATTTCTGCGTGCTACATCACATAGAAAGGCTTTTGAAGCACCGTCTCATATTTCCATACATGTTAAATCACATAAGATCCATTGAGATCACACTTAGTCACGCCCCCTCATACACTGACAAGTTGAGCTCTCCTTCTGCGAAGGAGAAGACAAGACCCTATAAATGAGTAATGACACGGGACATCTGTCCCCGTCCAGTTTCTGCTAGCGCCATAGAACGGAGAGACCAGCACTGTAAACTGAAACCTTTTCCTGCCTCGATTTAATATAATTGATAAAACTTAATTCACATCTCCTTGATTTATTGTTAGTGTGGGTTACCGCTTCTGAGGGAGGTTCGAGCCAGGGAAGCGACGTGGCCTGGAGGCGGGTTTCTGGGTCCGGTGACCCACAGCTAGCTCCCGTCATAACAACATACAGTTTGTGGTGTTGAATAAATAAATAAAAAGTAAACCTGATGTCTTCACTTTCAACTTTAGTAACACGCAATATGTTTAGAATCATTTTAATCACATTAGATAGCTTCATTTAGCTCAGAGAGCTTCATTATATCTCTCACACTAATGTAAATACTGTTTATTATTATTAAACTTATTATTTAGCACATTCAGTATGTTATATTGCAGTGCGACGTGTGCGCGTGCCTCGTTCTATAAACAGTGACAGTAGAACTGGATCAGACTGTGTCTCTTCCAACACAGATGTCGGTCACAGCACCTGGAATCTGACGTAGATTAACTACGAGATTAAAAATATATTCCATCAGTCGAGGTTCAGAAAGCAGTGTGTCCGCTGCCATGTTGATAGAAATATCCTGTCGGTCCGGTTTAACACAAAGCCTCAGCAGGAGATGTTTACATTATCAATGGGGGGGGTCAGCAAAAAACCTTCATTCTGGAAGGTGGGTTCAGAAACCTCCGGATTCAAAGAGAGGGGCCACTGGTGTCATGGAAATGAACAGCAGAACCGCAGAGAGGAAGCTGCGGATGCTCTCAAAATATGCGCCGTGTAAACAGCCCCTATGTGTTGGGGTTGGCTCTGAGCTAACACTATGCCAAATTTCAGCTGAAAAGCTCTAAATACGGCTCAGTTATCATACTTTCTCCCTTTTAGCTAAGGCAGCCATCTTGGATATCTGATTTACTGTACATAGGGAATGTATAACAACTCCCTTTCATTTACAACCATACTAAATTTCAGCTCAGTATCTCAAAGAATGACCGAGTTATAGTTAATTTTTTGTTTTATGAGGAAGCTTTGGTAGCCATCTTGAATCAAAATGGCTCCAAACATTAATCAGTTCTAGAGATACATCTGTTCTGTAAAACAAGTCAAGCTGACTCTCCAACTTACCCTTGGAGCTGTTCGTTCAGGCTGTTAACCAGCAGCTGATGCTTCTCAGCATCTTTATTCTGCTGACTTTTAACACTGGCAAGTTGACTCTGGAGCTTCTCTGTTTCACTCTGCAGAGTATAGAAAGTGACATCACTGTGAAATAACAAATTATTAAAGAAAACTGTGCACAGCACACACACACAGATGATAGCAGACTGGCCAGAGAGCAGCATCAAGGCAAACATGTTACTGGAAGTTGTTTCAATGTTGTTTCAAAATATAGTGTATAGGCATTTTATAATCCCTCAAAAATGTTGGAAATGTTATTTTATTAAATCGGTTTTTGTTCAAAATTATACCAATATGTTTTTATTTTATATAGCGTACTTTCCAGTCTATAAGCTGCTACTTTTTTTTCACAGGCTTTGAACCCTGCGGCTTACAAATGCTACAGCTAATTTATGGATTCTTTATTTTTCTGGGACGGGCTAACGAGCTTCTTGCCGCCAAAAGCATTTAGCTTCATCACACCCGGGCAATCACATTCCCCCACTCCCCGTTCTCTCCTCCCCTCCACATTTCATGATTGTGACCTGTTCAGTAATTAGGTCAGATTAAAAAAAAATCTTTATTCATATAGGTAGTCTCATCCATAGACATATACATGTAGACACCTTGTTGAGTGGGCTGGCCCGCTGCAGCGGTACATAAGAACGTCTGCCATATTAAATGTGGCAGTTCTGAACGTCAGCAAGGAAATGGACTGAACTTCATAAAGCACCATTCTACAAAGTGTTTTAAGTTAAACCCTGCCCTTCACACCTTATATATTTGAAAAACAAACACAAAGTCAACATTTTTAACTTTTAATGTGATTATTAAAAATGTTTACTCCTTAAATATTTGGGTAAGCACTAAACCAACATATGTATTCTTTTGAGTGTTTACAACTACTCAACGTGTGTAACACTATAAGTGTGGTAATAAATTTAAAAATATTCATATTCAACTTTTATTCTGTGTCTATAATAACCAGATCCTGACATGTAGATGTGACGTGGATTTTCTGAATAAAGAGCAGTAACGTTCAATTTAACTGATTTGATTAATCATATTGATGATCATATAACACCAGTATATCCTTACAGGAGATGGGGGGGTATTGAATATATATATATACAGTGCCTTGCGAAAGTATTCGGCCCCCTTGAACTTTTCAACCTTTTGCCACATTTCAGGCTTCAAACATAAAGATATAAAATTTTAATTTTTTGTGAAAAATCAACAACAAGTGGGACACAATCGTGAAGTGGAATGAAATTTATTGGATGTGTCAAACTTTTTTAACAAATAAAAAACTGAAAAGTGGGGCGTGCAATATTATTGGGCCCCTTTACTTTCAGTGCAGCAAACTCACTCCAGAAGTTCAGTGAGGATCTATGAATGATCCAATGTTGTCCCAAATGACTGATGATGAATAGAATCCACCTGTGTGTAATCAAGTCTCCGTATAAATGCACCTGCTCTGTGATAGTCTCAGGGTTCTGTTCAAAGTGCAGAGAGCATCATGAAGACCAAAGAACACACCAGGCAGGTCCGAGATACTGTTGTGGAGAAGTTTAAAGCCGGATTTGGATACAAAAAGATTTCCCAATCTTTAAACATCCCAAGGAGCACTGTGCAAGCAATCATATTGAAATGGAAGGAGTATCAGACCACTGCAAATCTACTAAGACCCGGCCGTCCCTCTAAACTTTCATCTGGAACAAGGAGAAGACTGACCAGAGATGCAGACAAGAGGCCCATGATCACTCTGGATGAACTGCAGAGATCTACAGCTGAGGTGGGAGAGTCTGTCCACAGGACAACAATCAGTCGTACACTGCACAAATCTGGCCTTTATGGAAGAGTGGCAAGAAGAAAGCCATTTCTCAAAGATATCCATGAAAAGTGTTGTTTAAAGTTTGTCACCTGGGAGACACCAAACATGTGGAAGAAGGTGCTCTGGTCAGATGAAACCAAAATCGAACTGTTTGGACACAATGCAAAACGATATGTTTGGCGTAAAAGCAACACAGCTCATCACCTTGAACACACCATCCCCACTGTCAAACATGGTGGTGGCAGCATCATGGTTTGGGCCTGCTTTTCGTCAGCAGGGACAGGGAAGATGGTCAGAATTGATGGGAAGATGGATGGAGCCAAAAACAGGTCCATTCTGGAAGAAAACCTGTTTGAGTCTGCAAGAGACCTGAGACTGGGACGGAGATTTATCTTCCAACAAGACAATGATCCAAAACATAAAGCCAAATCTACAATGGAATGGTTCACAAATGAACGTATCCGGGTGTTGGAATGGCCAAGTCAAAGTCCAGACCTGAATCCAATCGAGAATCTGTGGAAAGAGCTGAAGACTGCTGTTCACAAACGCTCTCCATCCAACCTCACTGAGCTCGAGCTGTTTTGCAGGAAGAATGGGCAGAACTTCAGTGTCTTCATGTGCAAAACTGATAGAGACATACCCCAAGAGACTTGAGCTGGAACTGCAGCAAAAGATGGCGCTACAAAGTATTAATGCAAGGGGGCCGAATAAGGTTGCACGCCCCACTTTTCAGTTTTTTATTTGTTAAAAAAGTTTGACACATCCAATAAATTTCATTCCACTTCACAATTGTGTCCCACTTGTTGATTCTTCACAAAATTTAAAATTTTATATCTTTATGTTTTAAGACTGAAATGTGGCAAAAGGTTGAAAAGTTCAAGGGGTCCGAATACTTTCGCAAGGCACTGTATATATTCAAACCGGATTCCAAAAAAGTTGGGACACTAAACAAATTGTGAATAAAAACTGAATGCAATGATGTGGAGATGGCAAATGTCAATATTTTATTCATAATATAACATAGATGACAGATCAAAAGTTTAATCTGAGTAAATGTAACATTTTAAAGGAAAAATATGTTGATTCAAAATTTCAGTGTCAACAAATCCCAAAAAAGTTGGGACAAGTAGCAACAAGTGGCTGGAAAAAGTAAATTGAGCATATAACGAACATCTGGAAGACCAATTAACACTAATTAGGTCAATTGACAACATGATTGGGTATAAAAAGAGCTTCACAGAGTGTCAGTGTCTCTCAGAAGCCAAGATGGTAAGAGGATCACCAATTCCACCATTGTTGTGCAGAAAGATAGTGCAACAATACCAGAATGGTGTTACCCAGCGTAAAATAGCAAAGACTTTGAAGTTATCATCATCAACCGTGCATAACATCATCAAAAGATTCAGAGAATCTGGAACAATCATTGTGCGTAACGGTCAAGGCCGTAAAACTCTACTGGATGCTCGTGATCTCCGGGCCCTTAAACATCACTGCTACTAAAATAGCAAAGACTTTTAAGTTATCATCATCAACCGTGCATAACATCATCAAAAGATTCAGAGAATCTGGAACAATCGCTGTGCGTAACGGTCAAGGCTGTAAAACTCTACTGGATGCTCGTGATCTCCGGGCCCTTAAACGTCACTGCACCTCAAACAGGAATGCCACTGTCAAGGAAATAACAGAATGGGCTCAGGAATACTTCCAGAAAGCATTGTCAGTGAACACAATCCACCGTGCCATCCGCCGATGCCAGCTGAAACTCTACAGTGCAAAGAGGAAGCCATTTCTAAGCAAGCTCCACAAGCTCAGACGTTTGCACTGGGCCAGGGGTCATTTAAAATGGAGTGTGGCAAAATGGAAGACTGTTCTGTGGTCAGATGAGTCACGATTTGAAGTTCTTTATGGAACACTGGGACGCCATGTCATCCGGACCAGAGAGGACAAGGATAGCCCAAGTTGTTATCAACGCTCCGTTCAGAAGTCTGCATCACTGATGGTATGGGGTTGCATGAGCGCTTGTGGCATGGGCAGCTTGCATGTCTGGAAAGGCACCATTAATGCAGAGAACCATGTTCAGGTTCTAGAACAACATATGCTCCCATCTAGACGTCATCTCTTTCAGGGAAGACCCTGCATTTTTCAACACGATAATGCCAGACCACATTCTGCAGCAATCACAACATCATGGCTACGTAGGAGAAGGATCCAGGTACTGAAAAGGCCAGCCTGCAGTCCAGATCTTTCACCTATAGAGAACATTTGGCACATCATAAAGAGGAAGGTGCAACAAAGAAGGCCCAAGACGATTGAACAGTTAGAGGCCTGTATTAGACATGAATGGGAGAGCATTCCTATTTCTAAACTTGAGACACTGGTCTCCTCTGTCCCCAGACATCTGTTGAGTGTTGTAAGAAGAAGGGGGGATGCCACACAGTGGTAGAAATGGACTTGTCCCAACTTTTTTGGGATTTGTTGATGCCATGAAATTTGGAAACAACAGATTTCTTCCCTTTCATTTTTACATTCTCTCAGTGTAAACTTTTGATCTGTGATTTGTGTTCTATTCTGAATAAAATATTAGATGTTGGCACCTTCACATCATTGCATTCAGTTTTTATTCACAATTTGTTTAGTGTCCCAACTTTTTTGGAATCTGATAAATATATATATATATATATATATATATATATAT